GTCAGCCCCTTAATCCAAGTCAGGTCTTTCCTCACTCCAGCCCCTCCCTCCCCACCTCGGTAACTCTGCCTCCAGCTGGGCTTGGCTGCCCCTTTCTGGCTCATTCTCAGCCTCTCCTAAGGATTCTTTGTAGCTATGGCATTTGCATTTTAAAAGGGGCCTGCTAGGAGGGGAAGGGGCGGGACACGAAATGCTGATGATGTGGTTTGCTGAGCTAGTAGGGGAAATGCTTTGCTCCGGACCCACAAATTACAACACTTGGGAGCATCTATGTGCCCCCCGCCCCTACACAAAGTGGGCTTGCTTTAGTCTTTCCATCAAGAAATAGCTAGAGGGCCTCTCTGGTGGCACAAGTGGTTAAGACTCAACCTATGAAGCTGTCCACAGCCTCTGCAGCACGAGTTTGATCCCCCGGGAGATACCCACATGGCGCAGCAGACCTCTCCTGACTCACCTGCTTTTCCCCTCAGCAGTGTATTTCAGTTGATCTGCCTGTTCTGTTCCTCACTCTGTCTCTGGTGAATCCTCTCACCCTCCACACCTCTGGCCTGTATCCTAGCTCTTGTATGCATAAATAAATGAATCTTTAAAAAAAATAGCTACCTTGTATTAGGCATTGAATTAAGAGCCAGGATACAATGATGAATTAGGTCAAGAATGAGTCCTCAGTCCTGCCCCTAGGAGGGTTGCAGTAGGAGGCTTACAGTCTAGTGGAGAGATGGCTAACCTGCTTCAGCGTGTCCTCTGGGCCCTTTCTGCCCATCTCCTCCCTACCCTCCTTCCCCAGAGATCCCCTGGTGGCTGCAGGCAGAGTCCCAGAGGGTCTATATTGTTCACATCAGCTGGCAGGCCCTGCCATCTAGACCACCAGGTGCTCCAACCCAGCCAGGAGCCTGCTCCCAGGTCCTGGAGTGCCAGCTGCCAGGCTGCCAGTGGATATAGCAGCTCAGATGAAAAAAGGAAATCTTTAAAAGGGCTTGCAAATACTGCTCTTTCCAGGAGAGCAGAATCCCCCAGCCAGGATCCACCTGTTCCATGGCTGAAAGGTCCTGTGGATGCTGGCCTCCTGTTTCCTTGAATCCTTGTCTACTTTCCTTTGTTTGTATCAAAATCTGACCTCTCCTTCCCAAATCCTCCCACTTCCACAAAGCCTACGTTTACCACCCTAAGGTAAGAGACTTGCCCTCTCCATGCCACCATCGTTGCTAGGGAAGTAGGCCCCCAAGCCTCAGCGTGCTGTTGGAGGTGAAATGACTGGAGCCCTATGTGTACAGACACTGTTCTGAGAGCCATGTGCATCTTCACTCACTTAGCCTTCACAGCAAGTGTATTATTATTATTTCCATTTTACAGATGTCCAAAGACACACAGGTAGCAAATAAAGAACCAGAATTTGAGCCCAGGCAGTCAGGCTGAAGGCTGTGTCCCTGACCACTATACTAATCTGTCCCCAAAGCAGCTTGTAAATGAGGAAATGTCGTACAAATGCTGCTGCTTCCTCAGGCACACCTGCCTTTTACCCCACCTCCACCCCCCAGTCCTCTCTGATAGGACACCTGGAAGCACCTGTCCTGGAGTGCAGTTCTCAGAATTATTTAAAGCAGCTCGGGGGCTTAAAATCCCGCAGAATAGGTGCTGGCCACCTACACCCACCCCACTTCTGAATGCACCCGCCACATCTGGCCCAGGGAGCCAGGAGCTGGTGTCAAGAAGAGGGCTCCAGAGGTAGGAGGGGGTGAGGAGGAGAGAGGCGGGCTGGCAGAGCCCAGAGATGGACTGTGTGTTGGAGCTGGCCAGCATCAGGGCTGCCTGGGGGCTGGGCAGTGACGTGCCAGAACTACCTAGGGGAAGCCAGTCTGCTGCCTAATCAGATTAAATACTCCTCCCAGAAACCCCCTACTCCTCTCTGTCCCCCTCTTAGCTCTTCACTTCTCTGCCCCGCCCTCCCTGAGGAAACCAACTGCCCCAGCTGATTTTATAAATGGCCTTGCAGGAGGTGGGCACATTGGCTAATTGAATCAGCGCCCATGAGGCAGGAGGCGGAAGGCTGGTTAGCATCACGGCTGAAAGGTGGTGGCAGGAACAGCTTGAGCGCAGCCTTCAGGGAGAAGCCTGCTTGAGCAGAGAAGCCTGGACAAGCTGGGCCTTGGTAGAGTCTGAAGCTCCAAGGTAGGAATGCAGCAGGAGCCCTGGCCACCCCTCCATAGCCTGCAACCAAGCTTAGAGAGGAGACCATCAGCTAACACACGCCGCCGCTGCCACCGCCACCATATACTCTGGAAAAAGAAAATACAAAGGGAAACAAAAGAGAGAAGAAAAGAAACAGGAAGACTGATGTGACATGCTGTGTGTGTGTGGTTATGTGGATCCGTGCACACGTCTTGACACCAAGCTCAGTCATGAGCCACGCTCACTTGCCTCGATGTCACCTCTGCATAATAATTAGCAAATGAAAGCAGTTTCTGAGCCTTTTGAGCAAGGCCAAGCTCCCCATGGTACCAACTGCTCCCTGGTAGCAGACCCTGGAGCCAAGAGGTCCCTTCTGCAGGAATTGTCACTGGTCTCACCTTGGTCTGTGCCTTCCAAGATGCAGGTGCTTCCTCAGCTATGGACTTCGCCCTAGGTGGCCTGGGTGGCACAGAAACACTGCAAGGAGGGTTCCCTTCAGTATTTGAGGAGGTAGATTCCTAATGTCCACGCCTTGGTTCATACATTCAGTAAACTTCTGCACAGCCAGTCTTTGGGTGGGCTCATCGAGGGGGGACCAGTCCACGTGTCCTGCACTGCCCACCTCTGTGTAGGCCTGGAAGGTGGCAGGAGCTAAGGAACTCTGCGTGAGTAGGCTGGGGAGTGTTGGGGGTTGGGGAGAGGTTTTCCAGGAGCCCTGTTGCTGGTCTGTGTCAAAGACCAGCCACAATGTGGTTGGGCCTGGCCACACTGGCACTGCTACTTCCCTTCAGAGACCCTGCCTGCCCCCGCCAAGTCCTACAGACAATGATAGCACGGGTCAGCATCCTGGCAACTGTCTCAAGGACTTTCATTACCCCTCCCAACTTCCCCAAATGCCCACTTCCTCTGCCCCACCAGTCCACACACTGCCTTTCCCAAGTGTCCAGTCTATCACTTCCCTTTTCCAGCAAAGCTAGCACCAGGACGGAAGAGCTCAGAAGACCCTGCATCTCCAGGGAGGAGAAAGGAGGAGAGGAACAATTTTCAGTTCAGTGTCGCACACCTCTCAGGGGCAAGTTCCACAGGTCTCCCGCTCAGGATCTGAGGAGCTGAAGAAGCAAGCTCTGGATACTGGCTGCTCATATCATCCTCATTCTTTTGGGTAATAGTTCCTTCAGGGTAAGTCCCCATACCTGACTACTAAGCCCCCGGCAGCCTTTTTCATAGGCTAACACTGCCCCCTGCTGGACTGAGCTCACCTCAAGTCCATCTGACAGATACAAGAAAAAGAGAATTGCCAGTTCAAGGGTGCCCCAATTCCCACTTCTGGCCTGGAAGGGGGAATGGGAGGCCTGGGCCCTTCCAGCCTCCAATACAGCCAGATGCTTGGATTGGAGGGGACAGTGGGGCAGTCACAGTGGCCTTTGACTCAGACCAGCAACAGGGCTCCTGGAAAACCTCTCCCCAAACCCCAACATTCCCCAGCCTACTGGCCCATTGCTTCAAATCCCTTTCATAAGGACAAAGACACTGTGCCTGCAAGGTAAAAACAGGTCCCTGTTGGGGGGAAGCCTCCGGGGCTCTAGGGACCTCTTTCACTTCCCTCCAGAGCTCTGAACTCTTTCCCTGGCTGCTCTTAGGACAACATGAGCTCGAGAGATAAGACCATCTTAACCTCAACACTTCAGAAACTCAGCTCATCTTCTAGACACCCTACGGGTCTGTGTTCCACTGTGACATCTGCTCTGATCCCAAGCTCTGCAGGCCGTATCACTGTCGATTTTGAACCTAGTCTTTTCTGAATGTCCTTTTTCAGCCCTGACCTTGTCCACTCTGGTCCATTTCCCATAGGGCTGTTGGGGTCATGGCCCTAATGCTCGACTCTCATGAGACTCTGCTCAAAAGCCTCGTTGTTCCCCCTTGCACTCTAATTAGGTACAAATTCCTGCACAACATGGTGGAGACCTGTTTCAGCCAGATCATCGTATGTGAATGTGAAGCCCTTTCCCACGCATGTCCAGACCTTCCCCACACCTCCACAAAAGCTCAGAGCTCCATGGAATTCCTTCCTGTCCTTGAAGACCCACCTAAAGTGCTACCTGGGATATGAAGTCCTTCCTCTGAACCCCCCTGGCCTTGTTTCACTTCCTATGCACACATGTACTTTCCTTTTCCCTCAACTGGCAGAACCCGGACCGTCTCATCCCACTCTGGCTGTAAGCAGCCTGATGCCAGGGAAGTTCAGAGGCCTACAGAGCCCCTTCCTATGGACTGAACTGGCTGGTGGCAGAAGCACCTTTGCCTTCCTTTCCATGGAAGTAGGTTTTGATGAGAGGGCACCACGCCTGCCCTTCAGGAAAATGAGACACTGGGGCCTGGGGAGAATCAGAGCAGGAGGGGCTCTCAAAGACCATGTGGTGGGTCCCCTCATTTTACAAAGGGCAGGGCAGGCCAGGGCAAGTGGGATTGATCTCCTCAGAGGCCCACTGACTGCCAGCTCTCTCTTTCTCTCCAGCCAGGCTTCTCCCCGCCCCCTCAACCTCCCCACCACACACCACCAGCTTCCCTGAAGTTTTTCCGGTGTTGCCACTACACTGGCAACGTGTTTAAGATGCTCAAATGTCTTTCCAGGGTGCACTGACTCAACAGACACTGACTACAGATTCTTAGGACCTGGCCTCAGCTCTCCCAGCCCAGACCTTGCTGACAGCAGAAGAGGGGTCCAGAGGCCCACAGGACCCTTCACCTCCCAGTAGGGCCATGACTATCCCATCTCTGCCCTCACAGCACTCATGACACACAAAAATATTACAGAAATGTTTAATGCCACAGAGAAGTCCCAAACCTGCAAAAGCTGCAGCCACTTTTTCATGTGCCTGGAGCCAGGAGGCAGGAAGCCTGCACAAGCCTGGGAACCAGGGTGATTTGCTGACATCATTTTGTCCTCTCCCCTAAACGCCTGAGGTTCCCCTTAGGCCCCCGGAAGAAGAGGAAGTGGAAAGGGAGTAGGAGGAGGGAGGGTCTCTTTGGGGCAACCTTCCTGCTTCAGAGGGTGACTCACAAGCCCTGGGAAGGACAATTTCTCAGACCAGGCTAAGGCCAGCTAATCCTGGGGTTCCCCAAAGAGCAGGGGGAGGTGCTTGGGGTACAGTAGCCAGGAGGAGTCACCAGAAGGAGCTAAAAGGGGATGACTGATGTGTCCCTCCTCCTGACCAGCATCTAACCTCCTCCCAGGTGCACAGGACCACTTCAGGGCCAGCATTTGACACGGTCCACATCTCCCTGCCTCAATCACTTTGGGCCTCTCTTAAGTATGATATTGTCATACTCAGTTCCCTGCGACCAGTCAGAGGCTGAGAAGTCCTGCCCTGCTGGGTAGACACGCTGGAGGCCGCTGGGGTCCCCATCATCCGTGGCCTGCCTCCTCCAGGCCTCACCTCGGGGCTCCTGGGGTCTGTCATAGAGGGCCAGGGAGGCCACTCCCTCAGGCTCATCGTATATGTGTTCAGGCCTTGGGGGTGGGTGCTCCTCAATGCTGTCATACAGAGGGTCAACTGGGCTTTGGCGAGGGACACCCAGCATACCCCTCAAGCTCTTCCCCAGGTTACGGGCTACTGCATCGAAGGGCACCGCATACTCTCCCTCTGGGCCCCGAGGCCGGAGGGCAGCCACTGGGGCAGTGGGTGAAGGTGGTGGTGGCAGTGAATCATGGGGCCGGGAGTAGGGACTCTCAGGTCGGGACAGCACCCCTGGGACTGTGGCTGGCTGGGCTTGGGGTCCAGGAGGAGCCGAGTTCTTCTGAGCAGAGATGGCCTCTTCTAGGGCCAAGAAGATCTCATTGCCTTGCCGGGTTTCGAACTCAAAGTTGCCCTCTCCAGAGGTGCAGCGCCGGCCTGCCTCAAAGGAAAAGGTGACCTGGGTGGAGGGAAAAAGGGATCACTAGGCCGCTGCTGGGTGGGCCACTGCTTTGGGACCCAGCCCCCAACAAACTCTCTCACCTCCAACTTTCCTCCATGGGAACCAGGCAGCCATCTCGCCAAGCACCTCTCTGCTCCCTCAACCGTCCCTTCAAATTGTTTCCATCTCCTCTCCTCCTCTCACTTCACCAGCCATCTTGGCTTATCCCACATATCACCAGCCCCCATCTACCCTGTCACTTCTCTCTTTCTCCTCCCTCCTGTCCTTCTCCCTCACCTCCAAGACCTTTTCAGTTCCCCTTCTTACTCCCCATCTTCTTATCCCCATCTCCTGGGCTGTCTCTGCCTTCCTCCTCCTAGCTTCCTGTCCTTTGAGGGCCCCTTGGCCCCCTCCCTGACAACTCTTTGCTCCTGTAACGCATTCTTCCTCTCCCAGGCTGCTGGGCCCCTGCTCACCTTGTCCCGCCCAAAGCGCCTCAGGAACCTGTAGGGCCATTCATATTGCTTGGTGAGGGGCTCTGGGCCACCCCACAGCTCCAGGGCACTCTCCCCAGCTCGGAGGGTATAGGCTCCCCGCAGCCGGCACCGCTCACTTGCTTCGGTGAGCCTTATGGTCACAGAAAACTCCTTTCGGGAAACCACTTAGCAGGGAGAGAGCAGGATTAGAAAGAAGGTGGTTAAAGGGACACACTGGCCTGCCTGGAGTGAGTGTGTCAGGCCTTGAGGAAAGTGTGATCCATGCACCCGTGGCCTCAGCCTGCATCTTGAAGGGCAAGCCTCTCCCCAAACGTCTGGTACCGCCACCCCCTGCCCTAGTAGGCATCATGCCCTAGCCGCACGCACCCCAACCTTGTGCCCACATCCTTCCTGTCCCCGTTGCCAGAGCCACAGCTTGTCATCCCCAACTCATCTCTCACCCCGACCCAGCTGCCGCCTCAATCCCTATTGGCACGGCTGCGGGTGCAGTTGACCCTGCCCACGCCCTGTGGATGCCAGCAGGGCCCGTGGTGAGGTGGGGTGGGGGTGTCCCCTGAGTCTGCCCTCCACACACACCCAGAGGGCTAGATAGATCACATGAGTGGGGACTGCTTTGTCAGCAAAAGGCTCCCCTGCATTCTCTCCACCTTAAATCCCCAGAAAGAAAACCATTCTTTTTCAAACAGTTGCCCAGGTCCCAAAGAGACAGGGTTTAAGAGGAGACCCACACCGGACACCTCCCCCGCACCCTCTCCCATGCGCAGGGCCTGGGCAAGGTGGGAGCCACAGTGCAGGGCTCACACCCAGACAAGCCAGCTCCCCCACCTTGGGCTGCTTGCTTCCGGAAGCGATATGAAGCCGCTGATATGGGGCCTGGCGGGGCTGGGGGCAACCACAAAGCAGAAAGACTCCGGTAGAGGCAGCAGGCTGGCCCACACCTCCTCCCGCCACGCCGTGGGGGTAGCACCAGAGATAGGCAGCCCCTCACCTGTGGTCGTGCTGCTGTACAACTCATTCTCTGCCATGCAGGGCCTGCTGCCCTTCCCCTCCAGCTCATTCCTCTGGCCCTGGGGGAGAAGGGCTGGGTCTCACCACCATCACCCATCCTAAATCCCACCTCTGCTCAGGCTTTCTGAGCTGGTTGCCCATCTGTGCTCTAGTTTGGGGACCCCATCAAAGAATCATCCCACAGCCCTGCTCTGGGCTCCCATAACAACTACCCACAAGCAGTGTCTCTGTCCTTCTCCTGCCTGCCCTCCTTGCCCCTTCTGCACCCCTGGGCAACTCACAGGAAAGGCCAGGAGGCAGATGGCCTGAATCCAGTCACTGCGCTCTGCGGCGGGGGCCGCCAACAGATACTGGCGCTCCTTGGTCTCCAGGAAGAAGGGGCTGGTGTCCCGGGGGCTGCTGGCTTCCCCACCAGCCTCAGCCACACGCAGGCAGTCACTGAGGCGGATGACCTTCCTGGAGGCCTCTCCCCGCCGCGGCTTCTCCGGGCCTTCCTGCAGCTCCAGCCGGGCCAGGGAGTAGCCCGACTCTCGGTACAGCACAGCCCCAAACCGGCGCCATTTCTGAGTCCAGACGCAGGGCAGGTGGAATGCCGAGAGGGAGCCAGCAGAAATGGATAGATGGTCACCAAAGGGGAGAGGAGAAACCAGGGGAGAGGTCTGGAGTGGCAATGTGGGGATGGGGAGAGAGCGGCAAAGATCGCAGGGGGCCCAAGAAGATGGAGAGAAGAGCTGTAATTAGAAAGGAGCTCAGCTGCGAGCAGTCTAAAGAGGTCTGCAGTGGCAGCAGAGAGACTGCCCAAGGCGGGAAAAGGCACACAGAGACAGGCTGCTAGGAGAAGACAGGCCCAACCTAGGAGATGCCCATGGAGAGGCAAGAAGCCAGAAAGTTCTTGAAGAGGTATCCAGAGGAGAAGGGGAGGAGGCAGCGGCAGGAGGGCACGGTGAGGAGGCAGCATGAAGGTCCAGACGATCATCCTTCTTGTTCTGTGTGAGGTTCCGTAGAAGCCCTCCAGGGATATTTCCCCAAGCCCTTGAAGCCTCCTGCCTCCCCTCTCCACCCCCAACAGCTTGGGCATGAGAGTGTAGGAGAGAGAGGCCCTGCTGTGGGGAAGCTGAGAGAAAGAGGACTTCCTTATTCAAGGAAGTGAAGGTTGGACACCCTGGGATCGTGGTGTCCAGAGGCCCCAGCCAAGGTGACCGGTGAAATACACCTCAAGAGGGTGGGAAAGGAACCTCCACTGCAATCCTGAATCATCCCCTCCCCATCCCCATCCCCAAGGTGTCCCCGTGAAAAGTCCCAGCAGAGCAAAAGTGAAGTCAGAGTCCTCTGTTCCCTCCCTACAAGGCCAACAGCCATCTGCAAAAGGCAGAGTTTGAGGCCTGGTTGGGGAGGCAAGTGGATGCTGAGAAAAGAGACTTCTAAGCTTGACCCTGGCCAGTCTTATCAGGTCGATGGCCCAGTCCCCACCATCCCATAAGGGTTTTTGGAACATTCAGGGAACCCATGTCTTCCCCAGAAATTATTAGCAGCCCCCCAGACCCTCTGTCCAGGCCCAGCCCAGGTTGCACCTCTTACCTTTACAAAGGTCTGCTGCAGCTGAAGGTACAGGAAGCCCTGCTTCACAGCCACTTCTTCCATCCTCCCACCATCGCGGGCCCCTCAGCAATCTCCTACCGCTCCCGCCCTCTTTCTCTCCTCTCTGCCCTGTGTTCCCCCTTCTTTCAAGTTCATTTCCTCTCTGCCTAGAGTTTCTGCACTATTCTAGTCTGCTCGATGACGACAGGCCGATAGGCCCTGTGGTTTCTTGGGGGTGTGTGTGTGAGTGTGTGTGTGTGTGTGTGTGTGTGTGTGTGTGTTTTGATGAGTTTCATGTTCAAGCTTCCTGCATTTCTCAGTGAGTAAAAGATAATTTCCAAAAAGTCAAGTTCTGCTCTCAGTGAGCAAAACTCAGGTACAGGCGTTTTTTTTTTTTTCATTGTTGGCATCACCAACAAAGAGTGGCTGACCACAAGAAGAGAGGCAGAAACCAAGTTTGAAAGAAAAACCAATAACACACAGCAACCACCCCCCCCCCCCAGACCTCCCGCCCCTTTGCCACACTCAGCCGGATGCTTATCATGGCACAGCTGGAAGAGAATTAGAGGTCAACCAGCTAAACCCCCCAATCTAAAAAACAAGGAGACAGGCACAGAAAGGTCTGAGAACATGTTCAAGGCCACCAAACCGGAACTTGGGTTTCTCAATTCACAAGAGCTGAGCTGCACACAGCAGGCCCTGTGCAAGGGCCAGAGCTCACCACTTTCACACAGCTGTACCTGTTCCATTAGGTGGAAGCACTCTCTGCCCCCCACAACACACAGGCCACCTCCGTGAAAGAGGTGCAATATGAGCATGTACATGCTGAAATATGTGACGCTGACCTTCCTGCCAGTCTACTGAAGACTGAAAGACACTTGGGTTTCATCTGGAGATATCTTTCTAAGTACTCTAGCAGTCTTTATATATATATATATATATATTTTTTTTTTTTAAGCTTCATATGGCGCAGCGGGTTGAGCATCACACTGTGAAGCTGTCTGCAGCCTCTTCAGGGTGGGTTAGATTCCCAGCTGGTCAGGGAGAAACCGACATGGCATGGCAGACCTCTCCTGCCTAGCCCGCTGCTCCCTTCAGCAGTGTCCTCAGTCTGTCTTCCTGTTCTGCTCCCCACTCTGTCTCTGGTGAATTCTCCCTCTGACCTATACCCCACCTCTGACCTATACCTCATTCTTGTATAAATAAAAATAAATCTTTTTAAAAAAAAAAAGCTTCATAGTTACTAAAGCTTCCAGGCACACCCTGTCACCAGCCACACTAGCCAACCCTGGAAGAAGGCAGAGCAAGTATGAACCAGCCTGTTTGCCACCCTGCTGGGGTCACAGGCTGGTACGGGCAGAGGAAGAAGTACCGGGGCTCCTGATCTTTAATTCAACAGTCCTTTCATGGCTGGTCCCTAAGTGGAACACAGACGCTCAGGATCAGTCTCCTTGTTTTTAGATTGCTATACAGGAAGATACACTGCTGTGGGGAAATCTAAGCTCCCCAGAGGGTATTTAACTTAGAGCCAGCTGGTTTAGAGAAGAGAACTGATGGATGCATGGTGTGGAGACATGGTGGGAACAGAAGAAATAGAGTAGCACTCTCAGGGTAACACTAGAATCGATGTTTAGGTATCTGGGCCCTTTTCAGCTCCCACAATTGTCCTTGGAATGAAGAGTAGAGCAAAGCACTGTGCAGGCCTTCTGCCGTACACGCTGTGTACTTTGCCAAGGCTCTGTAAAGCACAGATGTTAGGAGCGATGGGAGGGCAAAGCCGAGGCACATAAGGCTCAGGACACTCAGCCTAGCTGTCTTGTGAACAGGTTGATCCAGAGACTAAGGAAGAACCAAGGATGCTGGTATGGGAAAAGCTCCTTGACCAGAGGTTAAGGGTATGGAAATAGGACATGGCCTATTCCATCTCGCTCATCCCTTGGCAGAGACAACTTGTCTGGTAATTGCATGGTCTTGAAAAGAAATCAGCATCTCCTGGTAGAGTGAGAAAAGAAGCTGAGGGCTGACAAAGCAGTGCTGTTCAACTTCAAGGGCATATATTGTTAAAAGTGCAGATTCTGATAGTGTATTAAGTATGGAGGGTGATACTAATGCTGTTGGGAGGTGGCAAATTTCATTTGAAGTAGCAATATATAGAGGATGCCATCCCCCACCCCTACCACAGCTGTTTGCTTTCCCTGGGTAAACTGGGCACATTCCACTCGGAGCCACAGGGAGGCGCCCGAGCTTGCTGGATTACCTGAAAGCTGTTTAACCCTGGAGGACTGAGCAGCAGGTATTCCAGATCCCCCATGCCATCCCTTGGTTGTGGAAGTTGGAAAAATCCTCCTCCTGTAGTTGTTGTCTCCAGAAGACAGGATAAAAGTGACCCCCTCCAAAATGACTTTCACTTTCCCTGACCTAACTTGTGAGGACCCTGCAGTGGAGGAGCTAATTCCAGTACCTTCTGCCTGGCCAACCCTCTGAGACTTTGTTACAAGACATAGCAGAGGGGCAGAAAATGAAAAGTCTTTAGGTTACCCAGGCAAGTAAGAGAAAGTAAAAAAAAGAGGATCCTGAGGGTGAATGTTGGGACGCGGGTAGAACTTGGGGACCCTTGGCTTCCCTTTGCTTTTTATTGATAAGGAAAGATACCTCAAATCTCTCCTGTGTCATAATATAAGCCAAGGGATCTCTTTCCTACACCATGGTTTCTCTCAGCAAAAGTAGAGAACCATACAGATCAGAGACCATGGTTCTCAAAATTTCACAGGTTTTTGTTTAAATACTCTCCCAGTGATTAGCAACTAAATCTTGAACACAAATGAGTTTGTGAGCTTACCTTTGAAACAACAAAGGAAGGAGCACAATAGACCAAATTATGGGTGGGTAGAGGCCCATGGTAAGTTAGGCCCAGGTAGCTTGGGCATACAAGAAAGAAGGTATAGAATGGTCAGGGAGCTGGCAGGGACCTGAGAACAGTATAGGACTGAGCAAAAAAACAAGTGAGTAGGAATCATGAAAGGTCCCACCCATGGCCCTCCCTCAACCCCAGCAGTTCCCGACTGTGGAGGAGACAGATAACACCTCTCTCTTGAGTTTCATTGCTAGCCTTCGCCCTTTCTCCATTTAAGCATATCTCTTCCCCCAGCACAAAGTAAAGAGAGAACCATGTTCTGGAAACTCCGAGAGGAAGGGTTTATAATATTTGTGTTACTTAACATTGACATAACATTCCAAATGTTTTATTGTTCTCACATGCACACTAGCATGAGGCTGAAATATAAAGAATTAAGTAGGGCCTCCCCGGTGGCGCAGCGGTTGAGCGCTGGGTTGCGAAGCTGCCCGCAGCCTCTGCAGCGCCGGTTCGATCCCAGACTGCTCCCCAGCGGATGCCAGCAGCCTCTGCAGCGCCGGTTTGATGCCCAGCCACCAGAGGAGGGTCCCACATTGCGCGCAGACCTCTCCTGCCGCCCACTGCTCCCCTCAGCAGTGTACTTCAGTCCTTCTGCCTGCTCTGCTCCCTGCTCTGGCTCTGGTAAATTCTCTCACCCTCCTGCGCTTCTGACTGTACCCAGTGCTTGTATAAATAAATAAATAAATCTCTTAAAAATAAATAAAGAATTAACTTAAAAATTATTTATTGAGCATCTATTCTGTGCAGAGGTACTAGGAACACACCATAAGCAAGACAAAGCCTCCTGTTTTCATTAGGGTTAGTTTCTAGCTAGGGAGCTTGATAATGAAAAGAGTAAATTTTTAAGTAAATCATTGATCATGGTGGGCAGACCATGACCAAGTCTATACAGCAGTGGGGTTGGAATATAACTTTCAATAGAGTGGTGAGAAAGCCTCTCCGAGAGGACAACAACTGCACTAAAAAGTCAATAATAGGAAGGAACCAGCCACTTAAAACTCTGAGAGAGAAATATTCCAGCCACAAATTACTTCAAGTGCAAAGGCCCTGAGGCAGGAACACCCTTGATGTGAGGAACTGCAAGAATGGCAGGTTGACCAGAACATCATGAGTGAGAGGGCGGCATGGTAGAAATGAGATCTGATCACATGGGCTCTTGGGCCACAGCAACGATTTTGAAAGTATTCTAAATAGAATGGGAGGTCATGTAACACTTTTTAAGGGAGGTGCAAATAATCCGATTTATGATTTTTAAAAAATGTCCTGCAGTTACATAGATAACATATTATCAAGAAGTAAGGCAGGAAGCAGGGATGGCTTGGACCAGGGTGTTAGCAGTGAAAAGAAGAGAAGTGGTTGGATTTGGGTATATGTTAGATCTAATGCAACAGGACTTAAAGTGGATTGGAATCCCAGGACTGATAAGAGCCTAGGAATCAAGATAATTCCTGGGCTTTAATCTGGGCACCTAAGTGAATGCTGGTACCATTTACTAGAAGGGAGACAGGAGAAAGCAGTAGAGAAGAGAGTTAATGGGGGATGGATTTGCGCTTGGCCCACAGGGAGTTGTTACTTCCACCCAATCTTGCAAGTAGGGAATTAGAAGACTACCATTACTATTGTGATTCCAAAGACAGATCATTATTAACTTAGATGCCAGGTCAGGAAGGTTGGGGCCCATGATCCCTGCTGGTTACATTCAGGGAACTAACGAGTGGATACTGAAAGGGGTTTTTTGTTTTTTGCTTTTGGGCGGGGGGAGGGCAAAAAACAAACCCTCAACAATTCAGGGCTATGCTTGCCAGAAGCAACAGTCGAAAGCTTGAGCCTCACTTCTGCCTCCTAAGGGACTCTAATCGGCAGCGCCAATCTAGCATACAGAACCCTAGTAGCACGGAATTCTGGGTGATGTAGTTTTTAGGTGTCCTATCGTTGCAAACCAGGAAGACACAGAAGGACAGAGGTTGAAAGAACACTGAACACCAATCCAGTTTATCCACAACAGAAAGTGTGTAAGATTATCATCATCATTTCCATCCCAATGGTATGGCAGCGCCCAGTTAACACAAACTTCAAACAAGCAATACGCTAAGAACCCAGGCAAAATTTTATCTGGGTGCCCTGACTGGACGCCAGAGTAAAAGCCTATGGAAAACAGGAACCGGCACTGTCTTAACACAGATGATTCCTAGTGGGAAGAACTGGAATTGGCAGGCAGGCAGGGACTGACCTGTACTGATCCAGAGGGATGACTTTCTCACTCAGATTGAGCCCAGAGGTCCTGAAACCTCTTTCTCTCCACCACAACAATATCTCCTAGCAGGAGAGATTGACCCATTTCAGGAGGTAGCTTACGACAGTGGTTAAAATAATCCATTAGGGACGATTAGAACTGTGTCTTCTTCATGTTTCCATCATCGCCACTCTAGGGCGGCTATTTATTTCCATGAACTTTCACGGAGGAGAAAAGGACAGAGCTGCAAACAAGGAGACCACTATTTGGGTTGCTGGTAAGATCCAGAATCGAGACAGCAATGGTCCTTGGCCCTGCAGCAGAAAGACAAACATAAATTCGGCTGCTGCTGGAAACTGCGTATTGGAAAGTCAAGAATAATGCAGGTATCCTAAGTGGGGAGGAGGGGCTGGGAGGCGGTGGGCACATCAGAAGATCCCTCCGTGTGCTAGAGCAGCTGCTCGGCATGCGGAGGTGGGGAGCAAAGGGGTGTCCAGAGGCGAGTCAAGAGAACACGCAGGACGAGAGGATTCCGCCAGGTGCAGAGTTCGGGGCGTGGGAAGGTCTCGGCCCTCCTAGAGCCCTCACCACGCCAGCGAGCAAAAGGCAGCGCCAACGACCGCTTCCGCGCCGGCCGGGCCCAGCGTGCGCGGCCCCTTTAAAAACCATGTAAACAAAGCTTTGTTCCCCCGGCTCCCCTCCCTCGCGCTCCCCGGCCGGCTCCTTCCTCCCACCCCCAGCGTCTCCGGGCCGCTGACGTTGCCCGCGCCTTTACGCCGTCCCAGCGGCGCTGCGCATTCTCCAACCGCGGCCCCGGCCGCTGGGGCCTGCGCAGCTGAGCAGCGCTACGCCGTAAGCGTAGCGCGACGAGCCCCCAGCGCGCAGGCGCAGCGGCGACGGCGGCGGCGGCGGCAGCGGCCCCGGCCGAGGTGCGCGCTGGGGGGGAGGGGGGGCCGGAGAGGAGCATGAATGGAGCAAAATGGCGGATCATGTGCAGGTGAGAGGAGCCGCGGGGGGGAGGGGGCGGCCGCGGAGAGTGGGGAGTGGGGGCGCGCGCGGCCTAAAGGGCTCGGGCCGGCTCGGGGCTCGCCAGGCCCGAGCCGCCGCTGCTCCGGGCTCCGGGGCCGCCGCCCGTCCCGGAGCTCCGGGGCCTTTCCCGCCTCCCGGGCCGGGGGCCTCCTCCATCCCCTCCCACCGGTCCCACGCCTCTCGCGCGGGCCTGGGGGTGCGGGAATCCGCGCCCCGCCGCGCACAGGCTCCATCGCTATCAGTCACTGTCTGGAGGGAGGCCTCCCGCAGATCTTCAGGGCCCCCCCCAAACGGAGGAGGAGGGAGCACCCCTTGCCGACTTGTCCTGAGAGGACTCCCCCATTACACCCGCCAGTCCTAAACAATTAACAAAAAGGAAACCTCACAGTGATAAATCTCGCGCTCCACAGTCTTTCCCGCTGCCTCCTCTTCTCGCCCGGAATACGAGAGACCCCCTCCCCTCGGGTCTCCTTCCCCCCCACACCGATGCGCCCTTCGCTCCCACACTCCCGACCGTACAGCCTGCGGGGCTCAACTCCCCAATCCTTCAAGATGGGTGCTCGGGCCTGGGCCCGCCCTCTCTCGGGTCCCCCTATCCACAGTGAAGGAGTTGAGCGCCCACACCTCCTATGAAACGCGGGGTGGAGGGGGGTGTGTCTGAAATGAGAGAGGCGATGTTGGGTGCAGACCTTGTCCTGAAGGGTCCTGGTCGGGTTCGGGGGTGCCCGGGGCGTGCTTTGGGCCCATCTTGCTTTACCTCAGAGATGGGCACAGGCCCTAGAAGGGACAACGTGATAGTAGGAGGATTGCAGGGTTCCTGTAAACTCGATGAAGTTTCTCCTTTCTATACCATAGAATGGATATTTTAATGACAGTTATTGATTCAAATCTATTATCAGAAACCTTCGAATTTTCTAGGTAACTGCACAGTTTTTGTATTGTGGGAAGTAAAAAGTGGAGCGCATAGGACGTGTCAGCTTACCTTGCTTGCTATATAGTATCATTCTCCAAGTAAATAGAATGTTCTTATTCCTCATAGGATATCTACAAGAAACAGGAATGGTGTGACTTCTACTGGGTTGGTTGTTGTTGTTTGTTTATTGGGAGAGAAGGGACTAAATAAATTTTCAAGCCAGGCATCAGTAGAGAAGATCATTGGAGTGTGAGAGACAACTTCTACCAGAACAGAATTACATCAAAAATTGTAGCACAAGCTTTGTGCTTTAAACCCACCATTATGGACTACTTCAGAAGTAGCAGTGAAACTTGATACAAGGGGACAGTAGTAATAATAATAGTGTAGCACCTGGACTTGCATAGCAGTCATTTCTAAGAAGTGTGAAGGATTTTATGTGACTTTGTTTTAGTTCTTCCATCTTAAAAGACTAGGTAGGCAAGAATTATTCCTGTCATTTTAAAGGAACAAACCAAACTGACGAAGAGATTTACTTAAGGTAAGGCTAAGTGGACCAAAGACTTCTGACTTTGGATCCAGTGCCCTTATGCAGGGACTGAAAATTAGTGGAAGAAAATTAGTGTCCATGAACACTCCAAAACTTGGTTTTAATAGACAGTCTTTCTGGGCCTCCCTGGTGGCGCAGCGGTTGAGCGCTGGGTTGCGAAGCTGCCCGCAGCCTCTGCAGCGCCTGTTCCATCCCCGGCTGCTCACCAGCCACTGGGCGAGGGTTCCACCTGGTGCGCAGACCTCTCCTGCCGCCCGCTGCTCTCCTTAGCAGTGTACTTCGGTCCTTCTGCCTGCACTGCTACCGGCTCTGGCTCTGGTGAATTCTCTCACCCTCCCGCGCTTCTGACTGTACCCAGTGCTTGTATAAATAAATAAATTAAAAAAAATAGACAGTCTTTCTGATTAATGCTTTGGAAAGCAGAAGAAGATAGTGTACTTTTATGAATTATACATCTGTTCTATTGCCAGTAAAAAGTATCACTTAGTGTGATCTTTCCCATTTTTAACCAAATATGTTATTTCTACCCAGAGGAAAGTCAAGATGTGTCAAAGCAAGTGTCATGGCTTTTTTGGCATAAAGGAGGCTCTGGGGTGATATTTTTCTCCCACCCATGTAAAAATAAAAATCTACTAAAGTGAACAGCTTACTAACTTTTCAAAACAAAGGAGCATGCCAGTGTTTCGTTTTATTTTATTCTTTATTTACTTTAAAGAATTGCAATATGTTACTGTAAATTAGTGGTCTTTATATCAATAGCCTAAATTTGTGAGAGAATTTTTCTGTGTGGATTAGAATGGGGGCATATTGCTTCTAACCTTCCTAAGAAAAAGATACGATTTCCCTGATACAAAATTTCTTTTTTTTTTTTTTTTTTTTGTGGGACCCTCACCAGTGGCCGGGGATCGAACTGGCGCTGCAGAGGCTGTGGGCAGCCTCGCAACCCGGTGCTCAACCGCTGTGCCACCAGGGAGGCCTGATAGGGAATTTCTAAATAAATGAAAGAATTAAAAGACAATTGAGTACATTGAGGGGGAATACTTTTCTTATAACACTGTTGGAACATGAAGTTTCAGAAGGAGTCTATTACAGATTCAAGGCAGTGATTATTTGAAAATTGCCTATGTAGTACTAAATAGTCAAGTCATCATGTATCTAGTACTTTTCTGGACCACCAGGGTGAGCAGTTTTGTTTTTTGTGAGGTTTTTTTATTGTTGCTTTGACACTAATCAAGTATCATGGTTCTCAGGCTGAAATCCTGAGCATCTTTTATCAAAGGTTTAAGTGTCACAGAACTTTGGCAATGGGAAAATCAAAATATTTGATTTGTCTTTTACCTCTGTTGATGTCATAATCAAACCTCTAGAAGGGGGACTGTAAGTAACTCCTTATTGTGATGGATTTCCTAGTCTTGGTCTTAGGACCTTATCTACTGACAACCATAAAGGCTGTGGTTACAGAACACTGACTGTTAAAAAAAAAAAAATCAAACTCATTTGTATTTATCTTCAGTTGCCTCTGCTTCCTTTTTTTAATATCGAAGGTTAGAGTAAGATAACAAGGATTCAGTATCTTTACCTGTTGGCTAGTTACTGCAGAGACAAGTGTGCAGTAGTACTGCGTACAGTAGTAATTAAAAAAAGATTGAGAAGGATCAGATGTTAGCTTTAGTAGTGCTAGGTGGTGCCCAGGATCTTGAGAGAAAAGAATGTGTAATATTATAATTCTATATTAAATGCACTATTTAATACATAAATATATTAAATGTATAAAATTATATAAAAGGTAATTCTGGGTTTTTGTTGGAGTTATGTTGTGCTGGGCATTACATAGAATCTTAAATCACTACTGGTTTCTGCAATCTATGTAATAACAGAATATTTTCAAATACTCACTTTGTTTTAAATTTAAGGTAAAGTAATTAAATATTGATCACTAGTGTAATTCTTGGGAGTCAGGAAGAATTGTACCTACTGGCAGGTTAAAATTTAACAGAGTGCAAAAGTTAGCCTGATTATAACAAAATTGATAGTTTTCTTTTCAGCTATTAAAAATACACAAGAAAATGATACAAGCTTTGGGTAGTGTTTGAGAAGGGAGTTCTGTGGAACTTTTGGGAATTTTAAATGGGGGGTGGGGGGGAACCCAGTAACTTTTGTAGCTTTTTTTCAGTTAATCTAATACCAGAATATATGTGCAAGGTCCTTTGCTGCTGGCCACTGCAGAGGATTCAGAGCTGAAAAAGACTCTGGTGCCAGACTGCTGAAGTGTCAAATTCTGATGTTCTCTTTGGGCTGACTTCAGAAGTACAAACAGATAAAAGAACTAATGCACTCATTTCAAAACATGCTACATTTGTGTTAGAAGATACTGGAATAGTTGTACTCCCTTACTCAGCCCACCTCTTCTGTGCATTTATACAAATAATATGTTTGTATTTTAAAGGGACATATTTATTTGATCACTTTGCCCTTAATATATTCCTCTTGTGAGAAAAGTCTTCCAAAAATTTATGGCATGTGGTATCTATCATTCAAACACTCGTGCAATAAAACACATGTTACTGTAATGGAATCTCTCGTTTAGATGGAGGTGGGAAAAAGAAGCATTGAGAAAAAAATCCCTGTTTGTATCTTTCAGAGACATTAACTTCCATTTGATCCAGAAATTGATGTTCATAATCACCAGCTGTATTTTCTTTTTTCTTGGTTGAGTTTTGAAAACAATATTGTACCACAGCCTTTCGAGAGGGAAAGTTGCCAATTTAAACCAATAAGCTAATGTCTCTGAAGATACAGCTACTGGGGCTACTTTGCTCACTTCAATATATGCCAAGAAGATAGTGTTTAGAAATTGCATCATAAAAAAAAAAATACTTACATTACCTCACACATTTTCTCAGAATTGGGAATCTGGGAGTGACTTAATGATTTGAGAGTTCTGGTTCAGGTTTAGTTGTCAACTTGGGCTGCAGTAAAAGTCTCCAGGCTTGACCCAGGTTAGGGAAACCTGCTTTCATGCTTACCCAAGTGGTTGTCAGTAAACCTGTTACTTGCAGGCTGTTAGATTGAGGGCCTTGTTGCTATTTGGAGACTTCAGGTCTTCGACACCTGGGCCTTTCCTGATACATCATTTTTAAGGACTTTTATACATCATGTGCTGACATCTGCTTTGTATAAATGACCCATCTTTGTTTTTTTTTTTTTTTTTTTTTAAACTCTTACCAAAATCATGTGAGTTTAGCTTGGTGAATTTTCACAAGTGAACAGTGTTTGGTACCCAGCACCCAATTCTACAATGTTACCAGTACCTCAAAAGTCCCTTAGATGCCCCCTTCAGCAACCACCCATACATCCTTCCTCCTAAGGGTAACTACTGTCCTGTCATCTTATTTTTAAATATGATTTTAGAAGTCAGCCTAAGTAAGGCCTATCCATGAGAGAGTGAACTTCAGAGCCAGGGAAGAAACAATATAGAGCTGTGGTTCTTCAACTTTGGGGAGAA